AAATTCAATATGATAATAACATTACAGCAGTAAGGTTAAGATTGTTTACGTCTTTCCAATTTATTGAAAGTTTGGTTTAGTAGTTCAAGAAAATTTTATAATAGTTACTGATCATCAGCATATTTTCATCTAAACCTATAATTTCGTCATGGCGGCGCGCTCATCCATGTGTCTGTCGCGGTTGCTAAAGGCAAAATGTAGCAAATTTATGTTCGCCAGTTCATCCACTCGGCAAATCAGCTTCGTAAAACATGTAAAGAGACCTTCAGTATTTATTTCGTCAGGTTCACTAAAGTACTGTATAAACTCTACTGCTGTGTTTTCAACTCGAAAGTCAAATAACGTAAAAATTTTGAGTGAAGATATATTAAAAGCCACTCGACCTAAACAAACGTCCACCGGTAATGATGATGGACAGTCTAAAAATTCCGAAGAAGATAAGAAAAGTGATGCTTTTTCTAAAAAGGCTATGAAATATACATTTATAGCGTTTGGTTCTATGTTTACTGGATTTCTTGGAATCGCTATATATGAATGGGGTTTGTATATGTTTGTTTCTGTGTTGCATATTGTCTGTATTTTCTGCATTGATGATCTGATCATGATATTGAAGATGCAAATAATAGTGTTGAGGTAAGGTAACGCAAATTCTGTTCGCTAATGGTCTTATCAGAAATATGGTCGCGAAATGCAGTAAAAATTTTGGGTGAAGTGCAGAATCGCCCACTAATTTGGTGCTTTTTACAAGAGTAAGAAGAATTGGGGTTTTCATCCGCAGAGAACCCGTTGGCGCCGTTGCAATTTTTACTCGCCAAGCTCCGATGAGCCGGGCCGTAAACGTGATTTTTAGTGCATGTAAATTCAAGTTAGCAGACAATATATTAAGCATATGGTAGTAAAAATTCACAGATAATATGTATGTAGATGTAAAACTAACCATTTGAACGTGATATACGAAAAATAAACCCATCTTTTTCATAATATATTTCACAATACAAATAACCTTCAACAGTAATCAAATTTTCTTCAGTACATGTAATAAAACTAGAACTTTATACATTTTATTATTTTTCAAGAGTCATTTGAACTGTATTCAAACTACTCTGTCATCTTAGATAATCAATAATATTTTTTATTTCAATTTAATCAGCTATTTATGTCATCCTCTGAAAGGCTGTTGTTAGAAAAGCATTAAAACAATGTAGTATCTTGTTAAAATTTTACGCCATAAGAATTGGAGCCGAGAACCGCATCTATCAACGAAAAACTTCTTAATTATATGAAATAGTTCTATCTATTTGTGTTTGAAAAATTCAGAAAAAAAATAACGTGGAAAATTTGAAAAAAATAATAATAATAATAATAAATAATAAATAAAGAGAAGAAGAATATAAATCTCGAAATGCGAACAACGACAGTGATAATTCAACAAAATGAACGCAAGAGGATGGTTTCAACCTTTCAAGCGAATACTGATAGGTTACCAGGTTTTGAACTATTATCGCAAAGTGGCGATGTTTACATTACCGGGTTCTCTGCGGAAGTGCTTCCGAAGAATTGAGTTTTTGTCAATTTACTTTTATTGGAAGCACTTCCGCAGAGAACCCGGTAAATGTAAACATCGCCAACTTTGGCGATAATAGTTCAAACCTGGTAACCTATCGGATTCATCCTATTTGCTTGTTTGAAGGTTGCAACCATTCCTCTTGAGTTCATTTTGTTGAATTATCACTGTCGTTGTTCGCATTTGGAGATTTAGGTTTAATCCTAGTATCCGGTGCACACGGGATTTGGCTACTTTTGGCGACTTTATGATGAGCAGTAAAAACGGGACATATACGATGAGTAGTTAACAGGTCATTCAGAGAAAATATACAGTTAAACATAGTATATAGTATCTATATACTATGTGTGTATATACATATCTATGTGTGTATAGTATATATATAGAGAGAGAGGAAGAGAAATATATGTTCTTTGGATCAAGAATTAAAATGTTCTTTGGATCATTTTTGGTGTTGGCGATAATTTTCAAAATCGCGCCAAAGCTGCACCGTATACTAGGATTTTACCGAGATTTATATTCTTCTTCTCTTATTTATTATTATTTTTCTGAATTTTTTAACAACGAATTGATAGAAATACTTTCGTATAATTAAAGAAATGTCAATAAATGCTGGTTCTCGGCTCCAATTTTTATGGCGTAAAATTTTATTGAGATACCATATTGTTAATGTTTTTCTAACAATAACCTTCCCGAGGATGGCAGGTGCGACATAAATAAACTGATTAAAATGGAAATAAAAAAATATTATTGATTATCTAAGACCAGAGTAGTTTGATGCATCCCCATGGTCATCAATTAGAAACCATGCTGGTGTAGGAAACAGTCAAATAACTCTAAAAATATAAATGTTTAAAGTTCTAGTTTATTAACAATGCTACTAAAGAAATTTTTCATGAAGTTATTTGTATTGGAAATATTGTTGCGTGCGTACGGGTTCGTTATGAAATGAATGCACAAGTCCGATGAAAAATGAACAAAAATTTATTATTATCACAACAAAAATGCTTAAATTTTCTCAAATTATCATGCAGTATTACAATATCTCACAGTAGTTTATCTTTTAACTACTCAAATGTCCAATAGAACGTAATTCAAAACAGCTAAAGAACGCTAATCCGCGAATTCGCTACAATCAACAACAGCAGTTTTCTAAACAACAACAAACTAAGCAACTACTACAAACTGAGATGTTTTCCTCCTTTTATAAGATTTTAAAATCACGCGCTAGAATTTTCCAGTACTTTCTCGAAATCAAAAAGAGATATTTATTTATTTAATGCACGCGCTCTTGTATTTTCAATTTTCCGGCTTAGCTTTCTTTTAATATTCGTCACGCGCTGCACTGCGCGAGAAATAAAACCATTTAATTTATAATTGAACTAACATTAAGCTTTTTAAATACCAAATAATCAAATGTAAAACACAAATGCCCCTACCTTACCCAAGGAACTGCACTGTCCACGGGCACAATCCCATGGACAGGAAGCTACCAACTTACAACGTGTGACTCGCTTTCGTGCAGAACGGTGCATTCCCTCAAAACCGGGCCTGGGGGCATCTTGGATGTGTTCCTCAGGCGATGAAGGCGCATCCGTAGGGCGACTAAACAGGCGGTCACAAGGCAGACGAAGGTCTCGACCGAAGAGCTTCTGGGATGGAGAATAGCTGGTAGTCTTGAGTTTCTTTTCGACCCTGGTATGATTTCGGCAGCTTCCCGAGCTCGATCTTTCGGACAAGGCGTCGACATTTCCAGGCGAGGATCCCTTTTGAGGATGGATAGTCATGCCATCAGATGCTGAAAGCAGCTTATTGTTTTTGAAATCTAAGGAAAAATTGTATTTCCTTAAAAAGTCCAATCCGAGTATGCATGGATCTGTAATATCCGCCACATATGCCGTGTGATGGTAGGCGGCACTTCCAAACGTGATGTTTACGTTTAACTTCCCAGTTATGTCGATCTTGTCACCAGACGCAGTCTGAAGGGTAACACAGGATGGCGTCCAAATAAGTTTATCTTTAAACTGTTCAGCTAAATCTTTCCTAATGATGGTAACATTAGCTCCTGTGTCAATGATCATATTGCAAGGAACTCCATCGATATTCCCATTGATGGACAGTCCGTTATTGTTGCCACTCACTATAGAGATCTTAAGCGCTTTAAAACAGGGTTTTTCATTATCTGGCAACCTCCGTTCCTTGATATGGTCATTAATTTGTTTCCTGCGTCGTTGCTCAGAAATTGTCTCAATTTTCGTACCCTGGGGTGTTCTGCAATTCTTTCGTACGTGGCCTTCAGCTCCACAGTTCCAGCACTTTGGTTTCTTGTCAGTCCTTTTCCTTCCCGTGGCATTTAATTGTCTGTTTAAATCGTATGCCTTATTTTCCGTGCTCTGGGGAGTTCTGCAGTTCCTTCGTAGGTGGCCTTCAACACCGCAATTCCAGCACTTTAGGGTCGGTTTTGTTTTCACCACTATTCCGTCTTAAAGCATTCACTGGTCTTGTCAACTCATCCGTTTTCATTATCCGTGCCCTGGGGTGTTCTGCAATGCCGTCGTAGGTGACCTTCAGAACCACATCTCCAACATCTTACAGCCACTTTGTTCTCACTGCTACTCCGTATCAAAGCATCGACTTGTCTGGATAAATCATCTAAACGAGCCATCAATTGGTCCCCTGGGTCGTGGACTCGCACAGCTCTGACTGGGTAGCGATCCCTAAGAGTTGCTTGCTGGGCTGCCTCCAATTTCACGGCGTACAACAGAGCGCTTTTTACATCCTTTACATCTGCCATTCGCAGTGCTTTCTGTATTTCAGGGTCCCGGATGCCATCGATGAAATATTGCAGCGACAGGATTTCCCTCGTTTTTCTCTCGGGCACTCCGTAAAGGCGAGGTGGGACAGCCTTTCAACATCCGTGGCGAGCTCCTGGAAGTGTTTCGGTGGGCTTCTGTTGACGGGATTTTAATTGAAGCCTGCTGTAGTCTTTTAAACATTTCTCGCCAAAGCGCAGCTCCAATGCGCCGGATAGAGCTTCGAAAGTCAAGTCTTTGGTTTTCGGGAAGAGTCTGCAGGATATCCGCTGCGTCTCGGCTCTCAGAGAAGCGGCGAGAGAGATGACAGGCCTTAGCTTGGGAATCCCATCCATTCGCATCCGCCACGATAGAAAATTGTGGTCTTATACACCTGCCAGGAGGTCTTCCCATCATATGTGGATAGCTTCAGAGGTGGACGAGCAGGCATTGGTAAGAATTAAAAAAATCATCCCTCCTGCTCCCTGCCGTCGCTACGAATTTCTTTAAAGTATCCATTTCTTTGGCAACTGCAGAAACTCTCTCATCAATTTGTTGTTCGATTTGGTGTTGGACGGCACACAAACTCTTCCTTCAATTCGTTCCTCCACAGCAGAAACTCTCCCTTCTATATGTTCTTTTACAGAAGAAACTCTTTCTTCTATTTCTTCTTTCACCGAAGAAACTCTTTCTTCAATTATGTCCAACTTTATTCTTCAACTGCGTCAATTCTGCCTTCCATAGCCTTCAAATTTATTTTCTATTATGCAGCAGTAATTTCTCTTTTCATTTCTTCTTGACCTGCTTCAATCTTTTCTGTACAGCGTTTATATCTTCTTTAAACGGATTCCTTGGCCCAGCTTTCATTTCTTCCTTAACGGATTCCTGGCCCAATTTCATTTCTGCTTTAATGGATCTAATTCTCTGCTTTAACAGAGTCCTTTCATCTCTTCTTTAAATGATGCTTGGCCAGCTTCCATCTTTTCTTGGAATGCAGCAAAAGCACTAATGAGCTGTCTCAATTGTTCTTCCATCGCTCTTGTTATTGGCATTCAAATCCCACTTCCTGACACCAAAAATTGTTGCGTGCGTACGGGTTCGTTATGAAATGAATGCACAAGTCCGATGAAAAATGAACAAAAATTTATTATTATCACAACAAAAATGCTTACATTTTCTCAAA